TATTATGAAAACTATGCTTCGACTTCTAAGCAAAAGTTTTCAACATCAAATTTTACATGTAAGCAATACCTCTTACCTTAAGATTATTTAATTTTTAATAAAAATTTTATAATACCGGGTGATATCACCACGGGTGAATATTAGTTATAATCAAAGAACAATTATTCATTAAAATATGTTATTCAATTTCATAAATTTCATTTGAGATAATAAAGTCTGATTTAAAGATTTAAAATAAACGATTAAAATTCATTAATCTTTACTATTTTATTAATAGTTTGTATGAAAATTATTCACATTTAAATCAGAATGATAATTCTAAAACAAGTATGGAAATCTAATTTTAGCTGCTAATGCGTAGTGACTTTAAAAATCTGATTGCGGAAATGTGTGTATTGTAGTGAGAAAATACGAATAAAGTATGAAACAGATATGTGATATGGATATAGCAATTCAAAGATGAATTAGCTCATTCGTTTTGTTATAGAAAGCGACTCACCCTTCAAAAAAAAAAGAACATAAAAAATTGTTAGTAATATTCTTAATTAAGAAATTTTCCCACCAGGTCGACTTCGAGCCTTGAACGAAAGCAACCTTCGAGATTGCCATGCCCCAGTGAGGTTAGTTGTTAAGTCGACTTCGAGCCGTCGGAAGCAATCTTCGAGATTGCCCCGAACGAAGCAATCTTCGAGATTGCCCCGTTTGGTTAAGTCGACTTCGAGCCGTCGGAAGCAATCTTCGAGATTGCCCCGTTTGGTTAAGTCGACTTAGAGTCTTTTTGTAAAACAATCTTCGAGATTGTTTCCCCTAACACTAACTTCGGAGAACGCCTTTGTGGCTGAATGATACGAAACCTTCGAGATCTCGCACACACTACCGAAAATCTTATTAATCCAAAATAAAAATATACCTCTATACTTCATGAGTAATTCTTTGCTCGACAACTCTTTTCCTTTGTTGGCATTAGATATTGTTTCAATGGATTTAAGATTTATAGATATTTTGCCACCAAAATTTTCTAGCTCACGTTTCTCTTGGATAAAAATTCAGATAGGTCTTATTCAAACATAGTTAACGTGAGTTTTCCAGGTCACGTAAAAAAGAGAAGTTTTTTAGTCCTTAAAGTTGCTAAGCATAGCAAAATTTCTCATTTAAGTTAGTGTCATAGCTAGGTTCTCAATTACTAAACAGTCACACGAGTTGCGACGGGAATAGAAGGTAAATCCTTGGTCTTGGGGCCGAAGAGCGGATATCAGAATAAGGATATTATTCTTTGTTTTTATTTTGTTCCATTTATTTATTTTAAAAAAAATTGCATTGTTTTTGTTACACGAAATTGATCTACATCAGATGACCTCATAAGAGAAAATTCGGGCACTCAAAAAATCTGTGCCAGGTTTTGTTGATCACTGTGACATAGTAAAAATTCTTAAATTTATTAACGTTAGGGTTGGCACTTAGAATAAAGTTAGAGATTAGGCGGTTATATAGTAAAATCACTCAAGGAATTTTTTTTGTTATGGCACTTTAAGTGGTTTTTTATACTTGTTTTTGAGAAATAAGCGATTTTTGACAAATGAACGCTTGTTTTGTGTTTTGATCATGTTACGTTACACCTGATTCTTGAGATCTGATTTGTGGATCAGGAACCTGCGCCACAATGATCGACAAAACCTGGCACAGATTTTTTGAGTGCCCCATAAACTATATCGCATAATATTTTTAATTTAATAATTTTCCACTCCGACTTAAATATTCCTTTAATATTTTCAAAATCTCCGGTATTCTTATCCATTGATATGCCATAATATTTCCCAAATTTGTGATGCGCCTTTAACTAAAATTGACAAATTACCAGATATACAATTAATTCATAAACAATATAAATTTA